TTCTCTTTTTTCATTTCTACCCCTTCTTCTTCTACCAGAACATTTATGAAATACTTTTCCTTATGTTTTAACAAAGTGTGTTGATTGGCCTTTTTTAAAAAGCCAAAATGGAGATCCTGGTGGCAGAGCAGGTAATGATTAGTAAATTCCGGGATTGTAAACTCAAAAGGAAAGAAATGTCCATTTAACTAATCTTCACACATCCTGATACACTATTGTCAAGAACTCTAGAAGAGGTTTTGGCAGTATTTTAGGGCTAAAGTATATTATATAGCATCCATTGCATAGACAAATATATTTATGATTTTGTCTGCACTTCCAGTTTTATATTTGGCAGTTAAGAATCTTGATATTTATCAAAAATTCTAAGAATTTGAAACTAGGTTCTTGGTGGAGAAATGGAGGTGCATAGATTTCAAACAGCTCATGAAATGTAACATCCTGTTCAACAACTATGAATGTACTGATAAAGGAAAAGTCTGGTACGTTAATGACCAGTTCTTAGTCCTTTGTAAGAAGGGAGAAAACATAGGAATATCTCAAACAAGATGGTTAGTTCTCATGTATTAGAAATACCCAAGGTGAAGTAACAGGAACTGGATTTACCTACCAATTGAATAACCGAAAGAAAAACAATATATATATATATGAAATGGAACAACAATTGTCAGGACACTGGACTTCAGAAAATAAAATGATCCCTGAGAGATGAGAAACCAATGAGATGAACCCTATGATTTCTCCTGCTTACTGCCAAGAGAGAGTTTCCAGGCCATGGTTGAGGAAGGGGAATTCAGGTGGAACCCAGTGCACTCCTTGAGATGAGGAAACAGTGCTGAGACTTCAGGGAGACCAAGGTGGTAAGAATTCACAGGACAGAACACCAGAGAGGAGAGAGCTGTGCAGAGAGAAACCCAGAGCTCTGCAGAGGATGCCTCTTCATCATTCATCAGAGTGCTGATAGCACGAGCATTGAGGAAATGACCCGAGCATGGGGGAACATTCTTCTGAAAGGATTAGAGGATAATGCTCACAGGGCCAGGGATAGTGCCTGTTACCACCAGCGAGACTGGAAAAACTCATAATTCATAGAGTACTGGGAAGAAAATTCAGGAAGATCTTACTTCAGTAGTGGGGAATAAGTAGCCTTAAATTAAGTACCACTCTGGACATACCTAACAAATCATAACAGCAAGACCCAAAAAGATCAAACCATTTTCATGTAAGTTGACTGCCTCCCAAAACAAATCATATGGATATTTATAAGAATATAAAACTATTTCATATCCAACAAGGCAAATTTCATAATGTCTGGCATAAAAAACAGAAAGAACCCATCATCAAATGCGCAATAACTGAAAACCAAATCAGAACTGACAAAGATATTAGAATTAACAAAGAAATTAAAACAGTTATTGTAACTATACTCCATATGTTAAAAAGTTAAGTAGAGACATGGAAAATGTAAAGAAAAATTAAATAGAATTTGTGGATATGAAAGCTACAGTGCCTAGGATGAACAATACACTGGGTGGGATTAATGGGAAATTAGATTTGGTAAAAACAAAGACTAGTGATCTTGAGGATATAGCCATAGAAATTATCCAAAATAAAGCTCAAGGGCAATAAAGGCTTAAAAAAAAAAAAAAAAAAATCCCATCTCAAGTTACAATATGAAAGGTGGGTTTCAATACCTCTCGCAATAACTGACAAAAGAATAGACAGAAAATCAGCAGGAATATCATAGGCCTGAACAACAGTATCAGTTAATTTGACCTAATTAATATTAATAGAACACTGCACACAAAATAGCAAATGCACATTCTTTTCAAGTACATGCGAAACATTTACCAAGATAGACCATACTGTAGATCATAAAACAATTCTCAAAATTTGAAAGGTTTCAAATCATTCCAAATATATCCTCTGACCAAAACAGAATTAAGTTGAAATCAATAGTAAGAAGATCTTTGAAAAATCCCCAAGTATTTGGAAACTAAATAAAGCACTTCTAAATAATACATGGTCAAAAAAAAAAGCAAAGTGGATATTAGCAAGTATTTTGAAATGAATGAAAATAAAATCACAATATACTAGAATTTGTAAGATTCCTCTAAAGCAGTACTTAGGATGTCATTCATAGCATTAAATGCCTATACTGATAAAGAAGAAAGGTTTCAAATCAGTAACCTCAACTTTCATCTTAAGAAATTAGAAAAAGAACAAGTTAAACCTAAGGTAAGGAGAAGAAAGGAAGTAATAAAATTAAAGCAGAACTCAATGAAATAGAAAAGAGAAAATCAATAAGACCAGAAGTGTTTTTTTGATAAGATCAATTAAATTGATAAACCCATAGTCAAACTCACCAGTAAAAAAGAGAAAACACAAATTACCAATATCAGGAATGAGAGAGGAGAAATATTCTACAGATGTTAAAAGGATAATCAGGGAATATTATAAGCAGTTTTTGCCTATAAGTTAGACATTTTAGGTGAAATAGGCAAATTAGTTGCAATGCATGAATTACCAAGCCTCACTCAAGGAGAAGTAACCTAAATATTCCTAAACCTATTAAAGAAATTGAATTTATAGTTCAAAACTTTCCATAAAGAAAACTCCAAGCCCAGATGACTTCACTGGTGACTTCAACAAAACTTTTAAGGAAGAAATAATACCAATTCTGCATAAACTCTTCCAGAATATTAAATAGGAAGGAATGCTTCCAAACTCACTCTTTGAGGCCAAAACCAGACAAATACATTACAAGAAAAAGAACCTACAGACCAACATTCCTCATGAACATAAATGCAAAAATTCTAAACAAAATGTTAGCAAATCAAATCCAACAATATTAGCTTGATGTGGCAATCATTATACAAGGTATACTTATATCAAAACATTGTACATTTTATTATTAATTTTTTAATTCAATTTTTAAAATTTTTTATTGAAATATAGTTGATTCACAATGTTGTGTTAGCTTCAGGTGTACATCAAAGTAATTCAGTTATACATACATATATATGTATATCTATATATTCTTTTAAAAATCCTTTTCTAGTATAGGTTATTACAAGATATTGAGTATAGTTCCCTGTGCTATACAGTAGGCCTTGTTGGTTATCTATTTTACATATAGTAGTGCATATATGTTAATCCCAAACTCCTAATTTATCCCTCCCCCCTCCCTTTCCCCTTTGGTAACCATAAGTTTCTTTTCTGTGTCTGTGAGTCTATTTCTGTTTTTGTAAATAAGTTCATTTGTATCATTTTTTTAGATTCCACATATAAGCAATATCATATGATGTTTGTCTTTCTCTGGCTGACTTACTTCACTAAGTATGATCATCTCTAGATCCATCCATGTTGCTGCAAGTGGCATTATTTTATTCTTTTTTTATGGCTGAGTACTGTTCTATTGTGTACATATACCACATCTTCTTTATCCATCCATCTGTCAATGGACACTTAGGTTGCTTCCATGTCTTGGTTACTGTAAATAGTGCTGCTATGAACATTGGGGTGCATGTATCCTTTTGAATTATAGTTTTCTCCAGATATATGCCCAGGAGTAGGATCACTGGATCATATGGTATTTCTATGTTTAGTTTTTTAAAGAACTTCCATACTGTTCTCCATAATGGCTGCACCCATTTACATTCCCACTGACAATGTAGGAGGGTTCCTTTTTCTCCACACCCTCTCTAGCACTTCTTATTTGTATACTTTTTGATGAACGTCGTACACTTTAAATATATACAAATTTTATTTGTCAGAAGAAAATCCTACAATAGATAAAAAAAGATAATGTGGAGTTGACCCCAGGAATGCAGAGATCATTGAGCATTCAGAAGTCATCTGATAGTATTTGCCTTGTTAATAACATTATCCGTGGTGTTGTTTTTCTGCATTCTATTTAAACATTAAACTTTTGTGGCATTTATACAGGTTAATCAATTCATTTGTGAGTGTGGTTGCTGTGAGGATTAAATAAAGTAATAGATGCAAAGCATGAATAATGGGCCAAGCACAATTGGACAGTAATAAGTTTTTGCCAGTTAGGAATCTACTTCTTGCTTGATTAGGTTCACAAATATACTTCTTTCATAGAAAAAAAAGAACAATGACCATGTCCTCCTGTCTTTCTGATCTGGCATTTCCTGTTGTGACCTCACCAACCAGCCATCGTCCCCATGATTGTAGACATGGTTTCATGAGCCTTTGGAGCAGAGCCACTTGAAGTGCTGGCCTCCAACAAGATAAGAAGGTAGCATCAGAGTGTAACTGGGGCACTGTTTCCTTCCTTGAGAAGGTCTTGATACAAAAAATAAATAAATAAAATAAAATCAGATGAAATAATTTGTGTGCTTAGTGATGTAGTTGACATATCATGATGCAGGTTTCTTATCTTGTCATGGGCCAATAAGCTGTTTGCGGACTGGTACTTTGAGTACCAAGGTCTTAGAGTATGTCATGTCTTACACAGAATTTGGATTCTAAAGTCAGCATTTATACTACTTCTCATGACATCATACTATGGTGCATATTTTAAGCATGTATATAAAGATGTCATCAATAAATGTGACTTTGACATATTTACTTTTCTCTTGGGGTCATTACATATAATGAAATCTCATGCAGTATGTACTCCAAATTTTGTAATCATATGGCGTGCACTCAAAATCGCTGTATGTTTTTCACCTTGCATACGAAAATAGCTGGAGGATCCATCAATCCTTTGACAAAGATCAGAGATGGGGTAGCAAATAGGTTTCTTCACATGTGAGAATACCTGTCAAGTGGCAATGGCTCTCCACATACTGTGTAGAGATGTACTTAGAGAATGCATCTAGGAACAAGTACTGATATTGATTAGTAACGTATGCCATGGGTGTGGGAATGAAGTATGACAACACCTCATGCTGTGTATTGCCATTCTTGGCTAGAATTTCAAGGTTTCCCTTCTACTAAAAGTAGTGACTTGAGTTATTCTATTGCAGGACAAGAAAGCCATGGCAGAAAAGAAGAACCAGGTCTTACTTATGAACTCAGAGATGCCTCTCTTCAAGAATATTACATGGATGTGGCTTTTCTCATAGATGCTTCCCAAAGAATAGGAAATGATGAGTTTAAGGAAGTGAAAGATTTTATCACCTCAGTGATTGATTACTTTCACTTGGCCCCAGATCCACTGATCTCCATCTTGGGAGACAGAGTGGCAGTCCTGACCTACTCTCCTCCAGGCTATATGCCCAACACAGAAGAAAGCCCCATCTACCTAGAATTTGATTTGGTTACTTATAACAATATACACCAAATGAAACATCATCTCCAAGACTCCCTTCAACAGCTCAATGGAGATGTTTTTATTGGCCATGCCCTACAGTGGACAATTGACAATGTCTTTGTAGGAACCCCCAACCTGAGGAAAAACAAAGTTATCTTTGTTATATCTGCTGGTGAAACCAACCCTTTAGACAGGGGAGTCTTAAGAAATGTATCTCTGAGAGCCAAGTGTCAGGGCTACTCCATATTTGTGTTTTCCTTTGGTCCTCTACACAATGACAAGGAATTAGAAGAATTAGCCAGCCACCCACTGGATCATCACTTAGTCCAGCTTGGTCGAACCCACAAACCAGATTTGAACTATATCGTCAAATTTGTCAAGCCATTTGTTCATTCAGTCAGACGTAAGTCATTAAAGTTTTTCTCTTCTGTTGCTTTTCCAATAGATACCTGTTTGCACAATCCACCAGTTGACTTAGTAACATGATTCTCACTTCAGCCAAGAGTGGTGGAGTCTAGGTGTGAGTAAGAGGCAATGAGAAAACCACAGAGAAAATCCCAGGTCCTAGTGACCTTGAGCTCTGCTGTCCCACTGTCAGTGTTTTTGCCAGAAAGTGAAAAGTGTCTTTTAACCCAAATCTGTGTTTACTATGTGCCAAATTTTTTAAAGGATTGTATCATTTAATCCTCAGGACAGTCCTCTAAGGAAAGTAGTAGTATCCCCATTTTACAAGTGAGAAAACTGAGGTTCACAGACATTAAATCAACTGCTCAAAATCTGACAGTTAATAGTTGGCAAATTCTAGACTCAATCCTATGCATTCTGACCCCAGAGCTGTGCTCCTATCCATTAAATGATACATCAATTACTAAAGCTTTAATAAAGTATTACAGTGGTATCACTGTAATAAATAATACCCCACTGCCACCACCCTCCACCCACTCCAAGGACTTCTGTTTCATCTTGTCACTGTAAATCAACTTTGCTTCTGACTTGAATTCTTAAGAGCCATGGGGACAAATCTCTTCTAGAATCTCTGTCTCAGACAGCTGGCTCAGGCACAGCCAGGCAAGGGGTTTAAGGGAGTCTTTTCACAGTAGGCATTTGAGAGAGGCTGCCCAGTCTCTGTCCATGTGCTGTAACTCCAGACATGATTATAGTCGCAAACCTAAGAACTTGTAGCATCAAGCAAGTCCGGGCCTGTGCCAGGAATTAGGAGTGTGACAGAGGCCACCCTGAATGGTTGTCTTTAGCTCCTGCAAGTTTAATGGGGAATCAGAGAGATGCAGATTTTCTGGCACTCATAAAGCCCAGGGCTCATGGAACTGTCAGCATCTTGGCACTCAGGATTTATATTTAGTGGCAAGCTTGTCACTTGCAAAAAACAATGATGCCTTCTTCCAACCTCAAGATAAATAGGACAGACAATTTCAATAGTCAATACTGTCTTATAGAAATATCTTGCTTTTAGAGTGAGAGAACCAGATGTTATTAAGAGATATCTTTGAATTATATTGCAAGCCTGTGACACACAGAGCATGAGAATTTTTGACTCAATCACTGCTGTATCTCACTGACTTTGCCAACAAGGTATTGCAAAGTCAGAAGGTGCATATTTTGCTGAGTCCCTTATAAAATTAACTTGCTCTTGGAAACACCTCCAACCACAGGAAAAGATGAACTGACTTTGGGTGATAGAATGTGGAAGGGTAAAATTTAGACTAACCACCCACTCTCTCTCCAGGTGCCATCAACAAATATCCCCCTGCAGATATGAGACCCAAATGTGTTAACATCACCTCTCCCAACCCAGAGAATGGTGGCACAGAAAACATTGTATTGTGAGTTGACAAATTCACAATTTGGGTAATACTACCACTGGAAACAGTCCTTAAGAAAATAATTTGAAAGAAATGGCATTTTAGTTTTCAGGATGCAAGTTTGGTTGTGGGGTGTATGGGTGTGTATGTGGGGGGGGGTGTTTTAAATGTTCCTGATTTGTGACAACACCACAGATCTGGTGTTAATAGTACATAGAATATGATCCATATTCGAAAGAAGCATGTTTCCAGTTTTGTAGCTTTTATGAAAAAAGAGACCCCTATTAATGCCTTATTAGTAACTATATAATATCATTCAAATATTGGGTACTGTTAAAACAGAAAACATATAATATCAAAGGTAGGGTGTAATAGCTTTAGAGCAGAAGAAAAAGATGAAAAAGAAAAACTCACAAAGCAGCAACAAAAACGTTTGCTGTTTCAAAAACAGAACCCATATGGAGACTGGCAGGAAGAATTCGTTTAAGTTTGATTTTGCAAAGTCTAACCCTAAGTACTCAGTAAAAATTCAGTGATGAAAGTAATATTGGTTTGGAGCCCTAAACCATGGACACAAATGTCTAATTTCCCTTTGGAATTAAAAAGTTGCCCCTCAGTCAAATTTCATCCACAAACTGCATTTGGACTATTCCAATAACATGCATAAAATTGATTTCTGTTACATTATCTATCTATATCTACACTGAATCCTGAAAGGGACTTGGTTAACATATTTTTCATCATTTTTCTCTGTCACTTCAGCCTTCTTCCTGAGGTATATGAAATAGAGATGGAGAACATCTCCATCTCTATTTGGGTGAGCTCAAATAGAGGGCTCACCCAGTGAGCCTTTGGGTGAATTAGATTCCCAGCAGCAGCATTTCTTTGAATTAGGGAACGGTCAGAGTAACAGTTCTGGGACCACCACTGATTTGATCCAGAGGTTATACATGCTCTTTTCAACTTTTCTGATGATGAACAGGGAAGAGGCACATTCAGAAGAAATTACAGCTCCAGCAAATGTCAGACGAGATGAAAAATGTAACCTGAGTGCATTAGAGTTGACAACTTTGAAATACCCTTGTTTGTTTGGATTTTCCCTGGTAGAAGATGAGCAATGAGAACTCATGGAGACAAATAGAGATTGTAGAATAGAGGGGCTTATTAACTAGGGCTACAAGGGTCCCCAAAACAAGGGGGCAAGGGAGATAAAACTCTAGGAGGGCAAAAAAAGGAGCCACTGTACTTGACAAAACCAGAACTAGATATAAATGCCTGGGGTGGGTCAAGGAATAGAAACGTAAGAGGGAGAAGAGTAAGGACCACAGGTTCTGGGGGAGCAGGAGGAGGCCTGCATTCTTGTGGAGATGGGATAGGAGAGGAACTGAGTGGCAGGCCTCCAGAATTTGAAGATTCAGGGTCTGCTTTCTCCCTTGATGACCAGGGCTTTCCTTGTCTGAGATGTAGGCTCCTGGCCGAGCCCCGGCACAGTGGAACCTGGAGAGGACAAGGCTGCTATGGTTCTGAGATCTCTGTGCGCTTGTTAGGCTGCGTGGGGAAGTGGCTGTGGACGTATAGCTAAAGAGAAAATAGGAGATGGAGAAGAGGCAGGCATAGTCAGTTCGAGGGCAGCTGTTCACAATCTCTGCTATGTATCAAAATCATGGGAGAAGTTATTTTAAAATAAATATTCCTGGGTGTCTACTAACACTGAAAATGTGCATATCCTATGACCCAACAATGTTACCCCAATGTATATAACAGAAAAATATATATTCTCTAAGGGTCAGGTACTAGAATGTTCATAACAGAGCTATTTGTAGTGGCCTTAAAGTGGGAACAAAAATGCCCAACTGCACATATGATAAATGTTGGTATAATTATGCAATAAAACACTATATATGTATGCAGTATGTATGTAAAATACTATATATGTATGTATACTTCATATATATATACATATATACAATGTATCTTATGTTATATATGGTATATACTATATTAATATAATATAATAATATTATATTAATAATATATAATAATCCTTTTGATTCTACTAAGCTTATCATTTTCAACCAAAAACTACCTTGAAATATCTAACAGAACTGATTCAATCAGGATTTATATTAGATTTATATATAGTGTGGCTTCTAAAAAATATGGATGCCTGTGTCTCAACCCCAGAGAATGTGATTTAATTGATGTGGAGTGTTGGATGGACTATGGAATTGTCAGCAAATATCCAGCTGATTATAATGTATAGACACGTTTGAGAAATGCATATTTATAAGGTTCCTTCCTGTGCTTACACTGTTAATTATATCCCCTGCTATGGACTAGATTGTGTGCCCCAAATTCATATGTTGAAGCCCTAACCTCCCCCCCCCCACCCGCCATGTGGCTGTATTGGAGGTAGGGCCTTTAAGAAGGTGATTAAGGCTAAGTGAAATCATAAGAGTGGAGGCCTGGTCTGATGGAAGTGGTGTACTTATAAGAGGAAGAGACACCAGGACTCTCCAGCATGTGAGAACACAAAAAGGAGGTGGTTGTCTGCGAGCCAGGAAGAGAGCTCTCACCATGAACCAAATTAGCTGGTTCCTTGATCTCAGACTTCCCAGCCTCCAGAACTGTGAGAAAATAAATTACTGCTGTTCAAACCACCCAGTCTATGGTATATGTTATGGCAATCTGAGCTAAGACATCCTCTCTTACACCCACCCACTCTGCCTCTGATTTACCCTGAGTCCTTCCTCCCAGGGTTGGGAAAGCACACTGAATCAGGAGTTGCTAGACCAGGGACATGTCCAAGTAAAGCACTAAACCTCTCTAAGCTTCAGTTTCTCCATCTGCATAGGAAGGATATTAATTCCTGTCTCCTGCTTTTGGAGGGGAACCAATGAGGTCATGTTTATAAGATTGCCATATAAACGTGGAGCTCTGTGCCTGGGTGAACTACATCAGTACCTGCCACTTTCCCTTACTCAACTCAACTTTCCCTTACTCCCTTACTCCCTTCCACCCCCCTACTTGATTTCTCACTTGTGTCCCTTCCTCAGTGTCACCTTCTCAATGTATCCTCTCCCCCATCCAGTCACCAGTCATTTGACCTCACTCCAATTTCCTCCTATCAGAGTTGTCCTTTAGAATAGATATGTTGGCAACAAATTCTCTTAGTTTTCCTTTATCTGGAAATGTATTTATTTTGTCTTGACTCTGGACAGCTATTTTCGTTGGGTATAAAATTCTGTGTTCACAGTTCTTTTCACTCAGCACTTTAAAGAAAAATGGTGTTCTACTGTTATTTGGCTTCCATGGCTTCTGATGAGAAATCTACATTCATTTCAATAATTGTTCCTTTCTTTTATAACATGTACTTTTTCTCTAGCTGCTTCCAGATTGTTTCTTTATCTTTTGTTTTCAGCAGTTTGATTATGATATGTCTGAGTGGGGTTTTCTTTGAGCTTTTAAAATCTGTAATATTACGTCTTTTACCAATTTGGGAAGTTTGGGACATCATTTCCTCAATTTTTTTTTTTATGAATGAATCTCTTTCTACTTTCCTTCTAGAATCCCAGTGAAACAAATGCTGGACCCTTTTGATATTGTTCATCAAGTCTCCAAGTCTCTGTTCATTGTTTTCAATTTCCTTTCTCTCTTCAGATCATGTAATTAATCTAAAATTCCCTGACGCTTTCCTCTGTCATCCTCACTCTGCTACTGAGCTCATCCAGGGAATTTAAAAAATTTCAGATACTGTATTTTTTACTTCTAAAACTTCTTTTTGGTTCATTTTTTGTAATCTCTATGTCACTGCTGAGAATATCCTTCTGTTCAAAGTTGTTTCCCTTTATCTCATGGAACACAGTTGTAATAGCTGCTTTAATGTCTTTGTCTGATAATTACAGTATCTGAATCAATTAGAAAGTTGGCATCCATTGTCTTATCCTTTAAATACCATTCACATCTACTTGTTCTCTGTTATGTTACATAATTTTGGATTGTATCTTGAAAAAAATTTTTTTTTACATTGAAGCATCTTGGTTTTTAAAACAGACATATAGTTTTTATTGAAGTATAGTTGATTTACAATGTGTTAATTTCAGGTGTACATCACAATGATTCAGTTATATATACATACATAAATATACATATATGCATATATGTATATAAATATATATATTCTTTTTCAGATTTTTTCCCTTATAGGTTATTACAAAATATTGAGTATAGTTCCCTGTGCTATACAGGAGATCCTTGTTGGTTATCTATTTTATATATAGTAGTGTATATATGTTAATCCCAAACTCCTAATTTATCACTCCCTGTCCCTTTCCTCTTTGGTGATCGTAAGTTTGTTTTCTATGTCTGTGGGTCTGTTTCTGTTTTCTAAGTAAGTTCACTTGAATTTTTTTAAGATTCCACATATAAGTGATCTCATATGATATTTGTCTTTCTCGGTCTGGCTTACTTTACTTAGTATAATAATCTCCATGTCCAACCATTTGCTGCAAATGACATTATTTCATTCTTTTTATGGCTGAGTAATATTCCATTGTATATATACTCCACATCTTCTTCAAATGTTACATTTTGTAGACTCTAAATCTATTATAATTCTCTGTAGAACTTTAATTTTTTCAGCAGACAATCAATGTGCTAGGTTCAGAAGTGTCAGTGTCTCACTTTCTCTGGGCCATGGTTCCAATCTCAGTTTAGTGTCCAAAGCCTTTGCTATCCTGTTTTTGAGTCTTTCACATCCATGTACAGCTTAGGGGAGAAGCTGGGACTTATGTAGTTCCCATCGTTAAAATTAGAGAACCCCTTTCTCCAGCTCTCTTCTCTGAGGCTACCCCCACATGCTGACCAACAGGTCCTCTTTCCTTGGTTACTCTGCCCCCAAAGATAGGGGACAGAATAATTTCTCTTTAGTTTTAGCTATCTAGCATTCTACTCAGCTCCAAACTGGAGCCCATCTTTAGAGAAAAACCATGAGAGAAAAGAAGAAAAAAATGGAGATTTCTTCTATGATCTTTGACACACAGGGAACCCTTTTCCTAGTTCTTCTGGCCAGAAATCTGGGGGTTTTATCAAGTTTAAGCCACCTGCTCCACGGCCACCGTGGAGCTCCAGGACTGGGGCTCTGCACAAGGCCAAAAAAGAAAATGGGAAACTCATGCTCCTTTACAATATCTGCTTCTATTTACTTTTCAGAGTTCTTAAGTAGTTGCTTTTTGTGTTTTGTCAAGTTTTCAGTCGCAATCAGTGGAACAGAGAGACAGCATGGGCTCACTCCATCCTGAGGCCAAAGTAAGCTTAGTCCTTCTTGACCAGACCATATATTTCATCATATTTATATTTATTTTTCCTTTTCTTACATCTTATCTTCTCTCTCCTCTTTGTGTATATTTTTCATATTTCCTCTTTCCTCATCTCTTGTTTTCCATAATTTTGCTGATTTTATTATATTCTATATGCTATCTATATCTACAGTTATACCCATATCTAATATATATAGTATATATAACATACAATATACATTGTATATATGTATATGTATACATACATTATATATAATATACATACATTTTATAGATATATAAAATTATATATATGGTATATACTATATTGTTATATATGGTATATACTATAATTATTATCAAGTGAGCATTACCAATACCTTTCTTATTTATTATAATTTCTCATAATTTTCTCCTTCAAAAGGTTTCCCTGTTTTTCTATTTAATTATATATCATACATATAGAAAGTGGATGATATCTTTAATCATTTCCCTCAGAGAGTTCTAGCTGACAGCTTGATTTGGTGACTTGGACAACCCTGATCCTTGAAGTCAGTCTGAGTCTTTTCAGAAAATCTCAGTTTGGCTTTCTTCTTAGAATTATGGGAGGTTAGAATTTGAAAATTGGAATGGCTTTAGAAATCTCTGAGTTGTACTGTATCTTTTCACAGATAAGGAAATGGAAGCTGCAGACATCTGAAGTGTCTTCCCAAGAACATTCACAGCACCTAATCCAATACTGTTTGTCACAATGTTTCATACTCTATAATTATGTTTATAGAACACAAGTTCACCTCAAAGCTTGAAAAGGAGATAATAAGACC